TATTGAGGGTTTTTAGCATAAAGGGCTGTTGAATTTTGTCAAAGGCCTTCTCTGCATCAATGAGAGAATCATGTGGTTTTTGTCTTTGGTTCTGTTTATGTGGTGAATTATGTTTATGGACTTGCATATGTTGAACCAGCCTTGCATCCCCGGGATGAATCCTACTTGATCATGGTGGGTGAGCTTTTTGATATGCTGTTGCAATCGGCTTGCCAGTATTTGATTGAAGATTTTTGCAACTATGTTCATCATGGATATTGGCCTGAAGTTTTATTTTCTTGTTGAGTCTCTGCCAGGTTTTGGTATCAGGATGATGTTGGTCTCATAAAATGATTTGGGATGGATTTCCTCTTTTTGGGTCATCTGGAATAGTTTCAGAAGGAATGGTACCAGCTCCTCTTTGTATGTCTGGTAGAATTCGGCTGTGAACCCATCTAGACCTGGACTTTTTTTGGGTGGCAGGCTCTTAATTGCTGCCTCAACTTCAGTCCTTGTTATTGGTCTATTCAGGGTTTCAACTTCTTCCTGGTTTAGGCTTGGGAGGATGCAGGTGTCCAGGAATTTATCCATTTCTTCCACGTTTGCTAGTTTACATGCATAGAGTTGTTTGTAATAATCTCTGATGATGGTTTGGATTTCTGTGGAATCTGTGGTGATATCCCCTTTATCATTTTTTATTGCATCAATTTGGTTATCCTCTCTTTTCTTTTTTATTAATCTGGCTAGTGGTCTGTCTATTTTGTTGATCTTTTCAAAAAACCAGCTCCTGGATTTATTGATTTTTTTGAAGGGTTTTTTTGTGTCACTATCTCCTTCAGTTTTGCTCTGATCTTAGTTATTCCTTGTCTTCTGCTAGGTTTTGAGTTTTTTTGATCTTGCTCCTCTAGCTCTTTCAATTTTGATCCTAGGGTTTCAATTTTAGATCTCTCCTTGCTTCTCATGTGGGCACTCATTGCTATATATTTTCCTCTGGAGAATGATTCAAATGTCTCCCAGAGATTCTGGTATGTTGTGTCTTCATTCTCGTTGGTTTCGAAGAACATCTTTATTTCTGCCTTCATTTCATTGTTTATCCAGTCAACATTCAAGAGCAAGTTGTTCAGTTTTCCATGAAGCTGTGCGTTTCTGAGTTAGTTTCTGCATTCTGAGTTCTAACTCGATTGCATTGTGGTCTGAGAGACTGTTTCTTATGATTTCCGTTCTTTTGCATTTGCTGAGCAGTGATTTATTGCCAATTATGGGCCCAATTTTAGAGTAGGTGTGATGTGGTGCTGAGAAGAATGTATATTCTGTGGATTTGGGGTGGAGAGTTCTGTAAATGTCTATTAGGTTTACTTGTTCCAGGTCGGAGTTCAGGTCCTGGATGTCCTTGTTATTTTCTGTCTGGTTGATCTGTCTAATATTGACAATGGGGTGTTAAAGTCTCCCACTATTATTGTGTGGGAGTCTAAGTCTCTTTGTAAGTCATTAAGAACTTGCCTTATGTATCTGGCTGCTCCTGTATTGGGTGTGTATATATTTAGGATCGTTAGCTCTTCTTGTTGCAGTGATCCTTTTACCATTATGTAATGTCCTTCTTTGTCTCTTTTGATCTTTGCTGCTTTAAAGCCTATTTTATCAGAGATGAGAATTGCAACTCCTGCCTTTTTTTACTCTCCATTTGCTTGGTAGATCTTCCTCCATCCCTTTATTTTGAGCCTTTGTGTATCCTTGCATGTAAGATGGGTTTCCTGGATACAGCACCCTGATGGGTTTTGGCTTTTTATCCAATTTGCCAGTCTGTGTCTTTTGATTGGGGCATTTAGCCCATTTACATTTAGGGATAGTATTGTTATGTGTGAGCTTGATACTGTCATTTTGATGCTACCTGGCTGTTTTGTTGGTTAGTTGATGCAGATTCCTGATTGTGTTGATGCTGTTTACCATTTGGTATGTTTTTGGAGTGGCTGGTACTGGTTGTTCCTTTATATGTGTGGAGCCTCTTTCAGGAGTTCTTGTAGAGCAGGTTTGGTGGTGATGAAATATCTGAGTACTTGCTTGTTCACAAAGGATTTTATTTTTCCTTCACTTATGAAGCTTAGTTTGGCTCGATAGGAGATCCTGGGTTGAAAGGTCTTTTCTTTAAGGATGTTGAATATTGGCCCCCACTCTCTTCTGGCTTGTAGGGTTTCTGCTGAGAGATCTGAGACTTGACTGGGGAGGGATGAATCCTTTTCCAAATTTAGGTTGTTGACAAAAGTATTATTTGCTGCTATAGAGAACAGAAGACAGTCTGTCTCTTTGTGAAAGGCCCAGTCTTTGTTTTAACATCTTTTACCTGATTAAGTCACGGCCACCCAGGATAATCTTTCTTTGATTAACCTGAAGTCAACAGATTTTGGATCTTAATTACATTTGAAAAATTTATTCATCTTTGCCATATAAAGAAATTAAATGAAGGGAGTTGATCCACGGGTGAAACCAAATCAGATTTTGCCCACATTCATGAAGAGGGAATGATACAGCTACAGGACTAACTGGAGTCACTTTAGGGTATGTCTGCCACAGTTATGCTGATTGAGACAGTATGCTTATGTGTAGGAATCAAAACACACACACAGATTCATACAGACATGAAAACACAAATGAAACGGGTGGTCCTGCAGACGACCAGTGCTGGCCATAAACGGTGGCGTGACTGCTAATCAATGGAATGCAGAAAACTTGAATTGGAGAAGTAATTGCATAGAAGGAAAACTGGGGGAAAAGCAAAACTTGTATAAGGAAACTTGATGTCTTGGGTTAAGGAACGTATTGTTAAGAATGGCACAAACATGCCTCCTTTTAGCATTCACATTACTTTTAAGTATAAACTTGTGCTCTTTTATTGCTTCAGGCTAATCATCCTAATTCCGTTGTGCCGAACACTAATTTGTTTAAAATTTTAAATGTGTCTTGGTAAATGGTATCAAAGGTGATGTTTCTATCAACAGTTCTAAATATTGCTACAACAGAATATTTCATCCTGCAAAAAATTCTTATTTATTGAGAAGCCTAGTTTTCATCTGAGCCTAATACCATCTCCCTGTCAATCTTTTAATTAAAAGTGGGACTTCAGGCTGGGCACGGTGCTCACACCAGTAATCCCAGCACTTTGGGAGGCCAAAGTGGGTGGATAACCTGAGGTCAGGAGTTCAAGACCAGCCTGACCAACACGGTGAACACCCGTCTCTACTAAAAATTTAAAAATTTTAAAAATTACCTAGACATGGTGGCGCATACCTGTAATCCTAACTACTTGGGAGGCTGAGGCAGGAGAATCACTTGAACCTGGGAGGCAGAGGTTTCAGTGAGCTGAGATCACACCATTGTACCCCAGCCTTGGCTGCAACAGCAAAACTCTATCTCAAAATGGGGTGGGGGGAGGGAGAGGACTTCAGTGATAGTCTTTTCATTCAGCAAATATTAATTAATTTATTACGGTTAGCCAACATTGGTAAACAAGAGACGCATGTTCTGTAACCCAACCAGTTTATTGATTTTAAGATAGATATTGCATCAGTAATTATAGAAACGAATCCATCACAGTTTATGGGAGATGTCTGGGAAGACTTTGTGAGGAACTAAGTGATTTTTAAGTGAAGTGAGTGAATAGGAACTATCTCGATGCTGGGAAAGGAAAGAGAAGAGCATGCTTTGCAGACGGGCAGGGATTCAGAGGAGTGTGGGAAGGGTTCTGGCAAGTCTGAGGGCCTAGGAGGACCAGTTGCCAGGAGTGTAGCACAGGGCAAGGGGTGTTGAATGCAGAATGATGTGGACCATATAGAAATGTCACCGTTGTACAAGAGCAGCAGATGTTGGTAAAGAATTATTAGGAGAAGGCTAAAATGATACCTGCATTTTAGAAAGATCCTTTTGATGGCAGTAGGTAGAATTAGTTAGAGCCAAAAAGAGCTGGTCATTAGGAGACAAGCGTGGATCTGCAGCAGAAGACAGTAGCTTGGATTAGATGGGGAAAGGATTTGAGAGCAATGGATCAGACAGAACCATTGAGAAGAAAAGAAAAAGAAGTCAAAGGTGGCTTTTGGGTTTTCTCCTTGAACAGGCGAGAAACAGACCTGGAAGAAGAGAGGATAGTGGGATGGGGAAGGTGATAGTTCAGTTCTGGGCATGGTGGATTTCAGGCCCTGGACGGCTGAATCCAGTGGGCTAAATGGGTGGAGGATTGAAATGGGGAGGATGAGGATGAGAAGATAATCTCAACAGGAGATGACCTGGGCAAAAAATGAATGGAGATGCTTTGGGAACAAAACGTGTGCTGTTGTTAAGCATGCACCCTCCTTGAAGTCCCCAGGAGATCTTAGAGAATCTCTAGTAACAGCTGCAGTGCTCCCAACTTCTTGATGGTGTGGCTCTGCTTTGGTAGAAGAGAATGGAATGTCAGTATATGATGACTTATGTCCATTTCTGGGTTGGCAGAGCTTAAGTCCTGGAGTTAGAAAAGGATAAGATAAATATGCAGGCATTAGGTAAAACAAAGTGCAGAGTTGATAAGCAAAACTTAATGATATAAATAAACAAAAATATAAAATGGTTACACAACTTTATGTAAGACATAATAGCTTTGTTGTTATCAGAAAAGCATCCCTTAAAATGACCCTGGGTCTCTTTGAGGGTTGAGTTTACCCGTTGCTCTTGAATTTAATCATACAACCTATGGAAGGACTCAAGCAATAACAGCTCAAGCCATGGCCTGTCATGGAAGAGATCTGCATGTCTTTTCACTCTGTCCATGAACATGTTCATTTTTGTGACCTATAAAATGCCTTGTACACCCATGGACACTGAAAATTGAGTTACGATCAAAACACCAGCGTTTTGATCCTTTTCCTGATTTGATATTGTTGTAGTTGTGCATTTTTATCCAAGTCATTCATTTAGCAAAATAAATGGTAAATTATTTTTCTGAACTATTTTTGACTCATCAAAGTTTTCTTAATTTCAACAATATTTTATTCCAGGTGATTATGTTGTCATGACTATATATTTTGAATTGAGTAGAAGAATGGGATACTTCACTATTCAGACATATATTCCCTGTATACTGACTGTGGTTTTATCCTGGGTGTCATTTTGGATCAAAAAAGATGCTACACCAGCAAGAACAGCATTAGGTAAGTTTCCAAAAGCCTCTTCCATAAATTTGTGTAATTTTAATATAGAAGCATTCATAAAAAAATACCTTCAATTTAAAAGGCTATTTAAATGTGAATGATCTAATTTCAGGGTTACTTGAACTGCGCTTAGAATTTTCTCTTAAGAAGCCAAGTTAGGTTGTCCTTTCTCACAATGAGATTCTGTGTATGCTGCTTAAATCAAGATGGGGTAGGAGATTCAGAGTAAATGAAATGTGACAGCATCCTGTATCACAGGCTGACGTGATCGCAAAAACGTAGGCGCATCCCAGAACCTGTCAACTCAAAAGTCCCCTGACATTAATTTCCAAAAACAGAACTGGCCACACACCTCTGAGGACTGAAGACATAATATTGGTAAAGCAGTTTATCAATAATTGAAGCTCTGCTTGTATATAGCAACTTTCCAAGCAAACAAGAAAATGATCATTCTTTTCAGCTATGAGCCACACACTGAAACTCAGTCTTTTCATGAATTTTTCTCTGGTTTCCAAAGTCTTAATAAAACACTAAGTTTCAGTAGTTTTGAACTGTGCAGCATATTTTATGTCAGATTTTCTTTCTGGCAGAAATTTTGCTTAACTTCCAATGTTTCGGTTTTTCGAAGATAGGTAAATATATAAGACCAAATATAGAGATTGTTTTCCCCCAGAAAATCCCTCTAGAAAAGAGGAAGCTTCCTCAGTTTTGAATTTCTGCAACATCTCTAGTATTTACATTATTGTTTTTCTGTTTTTTTTTTTTTATTATTCTTTCTTTGTTCAAGAACAACGCACTGGACCTGGGTAGACCAGATACTAAAAGATTAATTAGCCTGTGAGATCCTTTACCTATTCTAGTTTTGCATGCTTATAGAAAATACATGATATAATTATAGGCAAATCAACACAGATTTAGTGACTAACCCTTGGGTTTACGGCTTCATAGTTCCAAATGTTAGATGTCATTGTATACAAGACATCTAAAGATAAGCTTCAGAGTGATATAAGGTATAGCTATGTGTGTACAACTTGAGACTATGAAAACTCTAGAGAGAATAGTTGTTCTGGGATGAAGAAACAGAAGCTAGAATTTCACAGTGCAGTCACATGATAAATGTATAGCCAAAAGAATTGAGGAACTTTATTAACAATAGGATGTTTACTTGGGACACCAGAAAGTCTGTGCCTAAAAATAAAGGGGGTACTCTAGATGTCCTTTAGAATCATAAGAATTCAAAGATGTCATAAGAATTCAAAGGGCGTCTTAAAAAGATAATATAGTGCAGACTCCTTACATTATAAGGGGTTATAATAAGAACTTATTAGACATTTCTAAGAAGTAGAAAAATGTGACTCATGATTACAAGGAAAGATGGAGGAATAAAAAGCAAAGAGAAGTCTAATGCTGACTCAGTAGGCATGGACTTTAACAACAGCTATTGTAACAATATCTGTGGGCTTAAAAGACAATATGATTTTAATAAGTGAACAGACAGGTTATCTCATCACAGAAAGTATATAAAAAGAAATTCTATACTGAAATGTATAATATGTTGATCGAAAAATTTACTAACTAGACTTGAGAGCAGATTGAGGATGGCAGAAATCAAAGTTTATATAAAATTGAAGACTATCAGATGAAATTAATCTGAAAAACAAAGGAATAAAAAGATTAAAAAGAATGAAGCCCAAGTGATCTGTAGTACCATATGAATACGTATAGCATAACTAAAACTGACTTTAACTGAGGTTCTAGTTAAAATCTTAGAATAAGAAAGAGAAAAAGAATGAGGCAAATATTTTTGAAAAAATGTGGTTAAGAAATTATAATATTTGTAAATTTTTTTCTTTACTTTGTAGGATGGTGTTTTTCAGTGAAAAACACCACCCTACAAATTCAGACAGCTCAGTGAGATACAGGAGAAATACAAAGGAAATCATCATAGTCCAAAGGATGACAATCAAAAAAAAAAAAAAAAAAAAAAGAGAGAATACTTGAACTAAACAAAAATGTCCCATCATACATGGAGGAGCAAAAATATGACTGACTCATTCTTCATGTGCAATAATGGAGACCAGAGAATAATTAATTGCTGTCTTTAAAATACTGAAATTCTATATCCAGAGAAAATATACTTCAAAAATTTCATCAGAATGAAGATTTTTTTTAGATAAACAAAATCCGTGTTGTCACAGAAAATGTAAAACCATAGTAAAAATTCTAAAACAAGCTAATTGGGTTAATGGAAATAATAAATAGAAAAATTGATTTATAAGAAGTAATGAAAAACATCAGAACTGGTAAGTATGTGGCCAATGTTAAAAAAAAAAAAAAAACTAGCGTTCTATTTTTATTCTTTCAATTAAAGTCAGAATAATAATATGTCAAGATGGGACTTATGACATAAGAAAAAATAGTAGCCAGGCACGGTGGCTCATGCCTGTAATCGCAGCACTTTGGGAGGCCGAGGTGGGTGGATTACGAGCCAGGAGATCAAGACCATCCTGGCTAAACCTGTCTCTACTAAAAATACAAAAAGTTAGCCAGGCGTGGTGGCATGTGCCTGTAATCTCAGCTACTCAGGAGCCTGAGGCAGAAGAATCACTTGAACCCAGAAGGTGGAGGTTGCAGCGAGCCGAGATCACACCACTGTACTCCAGCCTGGGCAACAGAGTGAGACTTCATTTCAGAAAAAAAAAAAAAGAAAGAAAGAAAGAAAGAAAGAAAAGAAAGAAAAAGCAGGCCATAAATAGCAATGAGGTTATGGGACATATGGAACTATGTTCCTATGTGGTACAAAAATAACTGAAATGATACCAAAAAAATTCTAAGTAGATATGTTAAGAAATCTTATCGTAATCTCTTCAAAAAGTATGAAAATATAAAAAGCATAGCGAAGCATAGTAGAAATAAATAGGAATATATAATAATAATAAAAGGATGAATTCAGCAGAAAGATAAGACATTTATAAATGTGCCTGTGACTAGTATGAGAGCTCCATATTAAAATAAACAAAAGCTGAGAAGAGGATAACTTTTTAAAATCAATCACAGTTTGATATGTGTCCACAAACAAGCACATCTGTCCACTTAAGTGATTAAACCAGTCAACAACCAAAAAGCCAGTGAGGAATGGGAGGATCTGAAGGACAGCATCAATGTCTTTGAGCTATCAGATATTATAGAACTCTGCATCAAGAATTACATCACACAAGTGAATTTCAATAACCACCTCCTGCCATACACAAACATTTATTTAAAATGGATTATAACTCAAATGGTAAAGCTAGAAATGCTAAATTTCTAGAAAAATATTAGGATCATATTATTAGATTAGATAAAGATTTCTCACACCAGAAAGTGAATCTTAGATGAGGAACATTTTGAAACATTTCTGACATGAAAATATACTTGAATAGATATTTCATGTTATTAGATAATATGAAACATAATGAAGATTTGTTGATTGTATAAAATAAACATATTTTTCCGATGAATGGCATCTTTCTCCTCTTTGTATGCATTCTGATATGCAGAAATTTTAATTTAATTTATTAATCTTTATATTAATGATTTTGTTCTAAATATGTTGTAAGTGTGGCTAAAGATTTTCTATGTAATATTAATTTAGCCTGATAAAATAATACCAGAAATGTCCAGGATACAATAAAGTATCACTCATTATATCAAAAAATGAAAATTCCAATATCAAGATGACACAGTTGTTAGAATTATCTGACTAGGATTTTAAAATAGCAGTCATAAATATGTTTCAGTGAGCAAATGCACACATGCTTCAACTAAATGAAAAAATAGAAAAGCTCTGCAAAGAAATAGAGGATATGAAGAAGTTGTCAGTGGAATTTTTAGAACTGAAAAATACAATGCCAAAATGAAAAACTCACTGGAGTTAATGAAAGAAGAGAAGACAGAGGAAAGAATCAGTGACCTGTGAGAGAGAACAACAAAAATTAACCAATGTGAGCAACAGAGACAAAATATCTGAAAAAATAATAATCAACTGAGGTTATGGATATCTCCGAATGTTGACACAAACGTTGGTTATGGAAATTATCCAACATTTGTGTCATTGAAGTTCCAGAAGAAGAGAAATAGAATGGGGCTATAAAAAAAAGTATTCAAAGAAACAATGGCTAAAAATACTCAAATTTGCCAAAAGGCATAAATCTAGAGATCTAAGAAGCTGAATTAATCCCAAGTATGTTAAATCCAAAGAACGTTATGTAAAGACACATCATAATGAAACTCTTAAGAACTAAAGAAAAATTATTAAGAGTAGCAAAGAAACATGTTGCCTTGCCTATAAAGAAAAAACAACTTGAATGACAATGTATTTCTCATCCAAATCATGGAGGCAAAAAGGAAGTGGCACAGCATTTTTTAAATGCTCAATGGAAAAAATAGTCAACCCAGAATTCTATACCCAATGAGAATATCTTGTAAGAATAAAGGAGAAATCCATTCTCAGACAGAGAAGAACAAAGAGAATTTGTCGCTAGTAGATATCCCCAAAATAATGGCTAAAGGAATTTATTGAAATTGAAAAAGATAAGAAATTTTTTAACAACAATAAAGAAGAAAAAAATACAAAAAGTGAAAATATGGGCAAGTAAAATGGACTTTCCTTTGTCCTTTGAATTTTCTAAACTATTTATAATGGTTGAAGCAAAAAAATAATAACGCTGCTTTATGTAATAATTAAACTAATACAAGGAAATATTTAAGATAATTAAAATCAAGGAAGAGTAAAAGGCAATAAGGTTTCTACATTTCATTCAAACTGGTAAAATGCTAAATATGATAAATAATGTATTTATAATACTGGAGGACCACTAAAAAGGCTACAGAGAGTGACGCCCCTCAGAAACACTGTAGATAAAGTAAAATCAAGTTCTAAAACATGTTGAGATAACTCATGGGAAGGCAGGGAAAAGAAAACAAGGTATTAAAACAGAACAAACAGGAAACACAATATAAAATGGGATAGTTATATTTTAAATTTTAATAATTACATTCAATGTAAATTGCTGGAATATACCAGTGAAAAAACAGAAGTTAGCAGAGAGGATTAAAAAAATAAAGCATGATCCAGCTATGATGCGTCTCCAAGAAAGTCACTTGCAATAGGATATTTTTACATTGACACGAACATTCATGTAATCACCAAAAACTGGAACAATGAGAATATCCCTCAACAAGCGGATGCCTGAAGAAACGGTGGAACACCCAAACCGTGAAATACTGCTCAGCAGGAGGAAAGAACAAAGTATTGATGCAGCAGCAGTTTAAATGTGCCAAGGCATTGTGCTGAGTGGGGAAAAAAAAAGAAAAAAGAAAAATGCTAATACCAAAAAGTGTTATTTTAGATTGTGTTTAAATTAAGGTATTTACTTCTGACTGTAGTAAGATGCCAGGATTTATATTTACTCATCCCTCCAAGGTCAAGAAGAAAGTGTTCCAGGATTCTGTAAGGCCAAGATCACCCTCCCAAGCAGCCTATATGTACCAGACTCAGCTGAGACAACCTTCCTGAACTCCCTTGTGCTGTCCCCAGAGAGGAAGTCATGCCAGCAGGCATCTTCTCACAGTACCCTTCTTAACTAGGTAAAAAAATCAGGACCTGCCAGAGTTCCGAGACGGGGCAGTTAGTGACGCCAGATTCACGGGCCCCAGAATCACAGGAATCTGAGTTTGAGCAGTCACCACCTCTGCAGCTTAGCGGGAAGACGGTAAAATATCTGCATCGCAGTACTAGTCAGATAGCAGGTTCTGTTCTGTGTTAAATACAGATTCCTGTGATTCTGGGGCCCATGAATCTGGGGTCTCCTATTCCCTGTACTTAATACAAATGCCTAAGCTTTTCTTTTTCTTCAGCCCTGTATAGTTTCAGGGTGGGGGTGGGGGTGGGGAGGATAAAGCACATGGCCACTGTCTACAGCTGGAATAGAGGCCATTCATGACAGCTGAGGGACAAAGTCTGTGGAAAGTGCAGGCACAAACAGTTTGTATTTCTATTGAAATAGAAACTAAGATTTTGAACTTCTTAGACATGATGTGGTCACATTTTTAAAAGTTGAATCTGATGTTTATTAAAAGAGAATAATGGCTTTCAGCTTCATCCATGTCCCCGCAAAGGACACAATCTCATTCTTTTTCATGGCTGCATAGTATTCCCTGGAGAGAACATTAGGAAAAAGAGCTAATGCATGCTGGTCTTAATACCTAGGTGACGGGTTGATAGGTGCAGCAAACCACCATGGCACACGTTTACCTATGTAACAAACATGCACCTCCTGCACATGTACCCTGGAACTTTAAAAAAAAACACAATAAAATAAATTTTTTAAAAAGAGCTTTTTTCATAAAACTACATCTGACATCAGTATAGACTTTTCCAGCTTACATAGCATTTCTACATGAAATTTTACCACCTATATTAAAGAGTGCCCGGCATTCTGTTTTCACGGCACGAGTTAAGGAAACTGATTCAAAAATGGTGATTCCTCATGCCCAAATGTTGAAGAGGCCCAGAGCAAGGTGGAGGGCTTGGACTTTCAGGTGATATTCTTTACGCCCCAACAAGCTGTCCACCCCATGCTTTGTGACTCATTCTCTAGCTGGCCCTGGCAGAACTGCCTTGAGCAGGTGCAGGGAGGGACTGCACAGGGGCTGGGATGCTGCAGCGGAGGCGGAAAGTCACGTGCCCTCATCTGTTCTCTGACTAGTACCGCGATGCAGATATATTTTCTACCATCTTCCCACTGAGCTGCAGAGGTGGTGACTGCTCAAACTCAGGTTCCTGTGATTCTGGGGCCCATGAATCTGGGGTCACTCCTGTCTAGGAGGTCTGGCAGGTCCTGATTTCTTGGGGCATTCACCGAGAAGGTAGTCAGTCTTAGGCTGTTTCACATGATAATCACTCTTGTTCATTTTATTCTTATGTTCAACGCTCTCCATTTCTTTTTTCACGTTTTCTCTTCTAAGCGGTCCACCTCATGTGTGTCTCTTTTCTGGATGTTTTCCACAATCTTTGATTAAAACTCCAGTGCTGACCCATGCCTATGAAACGGTCAAAGTCAAACCAACATTGAGTATTACCAAATAATTGATTCATTCTATGGAAAGCATTCATTTAAATGCCTCAAATGTGCCAGCCACTGCTTGGGGACAGGCAGACAAAGACAACTACGGTACTGTTTTTGGCTTAAAGATCACACAATCTGTCTGGGAGACAGATACGTAAAGACTTACGTGATTCCCTGTGATAATGACAACAGACAGAGCTGAGGCAGGTACAAGGTACATGGGGGTCGCAGGTGCGCGTGTCGTCAGCTCTGCCTTGAGGACAAGAGTGGTCCTGGAGCCGGGTCTTCAAGAACAGTGGGGATTTTCAGACTGGGGAAGGAGGAGAAGTAAAAAGTAACAGGATTTAGCTGGGCAGGAGTGTGAGATGTGGAACAGCAGGGACTTTGTATGACCGCAGAAAGAGCATCTGCATTAAAAATTTCTTAAAAGGCAAAATGTCCAACAATGAGAGAATCACCGAATTTGAAAGGCGTCCACTTGATTCAGGCATTTTAATGTTACTGTGAAGACTATAATAAGAAATTGAATGGAAACATTGCTCACAAAATTATATAGACGTTAACATTCAAGGAAACCTTACAGGAGGTATGTGGCACCAGGGGCTCCTTGAGGATGCCGTGCTGGGGTGGACGGCTGTGGGTGACCGTCTGCTGTCCTGTTGCGTGCTGCATTCTTTACCACGTGCTGCCTGTCCTCTGTGCAGGCATCACCACGGTGCTGACCATGACCACCCTGAGCACCATCGCCAGGAATTCCTTGCCGCGTGTGTCCTACGTGACCGCCATGGACCTCTTTGTGACCGTGTGCTTCCTGTTTGTCTTCGCCGCGCTGATGGAGTATGCCACCCTCAACTACTATTCCAGCTGCAGGAAACCCACCACCACCAAGAAGACAGCATCGGTGAGCCGCAGTTAGCAAAGGTTCTCCGGGAGGCAATGGGCGCTCTGTGAGTCGAATGTGTGCTTAAATGTAGTTGTATTCCTAAGGATCGTATAAAGCATGATATAAATACCCCGTTCAACAAGACGTTTAAAATCCAGACAGGGTTCTGAAGATTTGAATGTGACTGGAAGGCATCTCGGGTGTCACCTGCCGGTGACGTGGTTTCGGTTTAGTCATACCCTAAAGAGTGCCCTTAAGAGTGATCTTGGATGCAAATGTCCTGACAGCTTCCTAATTATCTTTCTTCGTTTCTTGTAGTTACAGCATCCAGATTCCTCAAGATGGATTCCTGAGCGAATAAGCCTCCAAGCCTCCTCCGTATGTATAGCCTTACGGGTGCAATGTTTCTGAGAACTTTCACTGAACTAAGAATGCATTTGAAAAATGTATTGCCGTTGATGCGTGCGTGTGTGGAAGGCCAGTGAGCGATATGCGTGCTGTCTGGTATTATGTTAAAAACCCAGCTTTGACAGTTTGGAAATTAGAGGGAGAAAGTAATCATAGTCCTTCTGCATGGGGATTAGTGTATGGTGTATATAGCTCTGACTTTTTTAGCCATTCGAATAATAAATGTTTATGCATTTTAGAAAAACTGAATCATATCTATATTGTTTTCTAGCCTCTTTTATAACTTCAAAAATATGCATTTCAGTTTTGTGCCACAAATATTATTTTATAGGATCGTTTTAATGAATGCATCATATGCTCTTGATTGAGACACAGGCAATCTCAGCTGGGCACTGGGCTTAGCTACAGTTTTCTCACTTGCATTTACATTCTTATCAGTGCCGATCTGTATACACCCGTGGCTGTTTGCTTGGTTGTAAATTCTCAGAAGCAGAGTGTTTGAGCAGAGGGGTTGCGTGGTGTTCGGTCTTTGCCAAATAGCACTCCGCCAGCCCCATCAGCAATGCCAGACCCTCCATCCCGGAACTTTCCCTGCATTCAGTGCGATGGTCCAGCAGGAAAACGGTCTCTGCAGACTTTTCTCACAGGCGCTGCTTTGACTGTTGATAATGTGGTCACTTGTCGATTTTTGATTTGCATTTCCATTTTTGCGAATTGCTTTTGAATGTTTTTTAACTTTTATTAGTATTTTAAAGTAGCAGTCTGACAGTTGCATATATGTTATATATTATATCAATTGTATTTTATCAAATATGTAATTTATATGGTCATGTATAGAATATATTAGGGATATCAGTGTTTGTCATGGAGCTTTCATTCCAACTTGAATTGGCAACACTGCCACGATCCTTCTGGTGCCTTTTTCTGTGTGTCCTTTGGTTTCCTGCTGTCAGATCTGTCAGTGTTTTCTTTCGTGGCTGCTGCTTCTGACGTGGCCTCTTCACTTTCTTCTGAGCACTTTACTTCACAGTAAGTTCTTTGTGCTCTCACGTATCAACTCACTTTCTTCTCACAACAAACCTCTCCACTGATGAGAAAACTGAAGCCTGGGTAAATTAAGCCCTGTCAATATTGACCAAGGTTTGACAATTTAAAAGCAAATTTGTTACATTTAACTGTTAACACATCTAAATTTCTTTTGGCTAGAGGTAACAATGTAGCTTTATTGAAAAATAGAGAAATGTTTTTACATTGCTGATGGGAACTACAACTTTTATCATATGGCAACTTTTATTTAGGATCCTGACTTCTATTCCTTTATACATACGTACACTAGTGACAATTGACTAATTGCCCTGAATGTTTCCAGACCACCGGTAAGCCGCAGGTGGCTTGCTACTTGTCAGTCAGGACCTCATACGCAGCAGGCTTCCAGCCCAGGGTCAGGAGACCACACAGTCATCCACACTCTGCAAGTGTGGATCATGACAGTTCATCCAGCCCATCAGTGGACAGATCACTCTTACAGCTGCGGGAAGCCACAGCGAACACACAGATTTCACCAGCAAAGGCTTCCACATGACATGGGACCAAAACAGACGGGGAGGGCGTACACCACCACACATAGCCAGGACCTGGCTGTCGGAAGAAGGAAGCAATGACATCTTTAGTACAGCAATGATGCTGCCAAAAGAAAGAAGAAATCCTTTCACACAGAGAGAAAAAGATAATATCACAAAATGGGCAGAAATTCTTTTTTTTTTTAAAAAAAGGAGAAAGTGGGAAAGTTTAATGACTTGGAAGAAAGTACAGAGAAACGTAATTCACAGACAGAAAGGGTGCGAGGCCAGGTGAACAGACACAGGCGACAGAGCTGCTGCAGGAGTGATGCTGGAGCCAAAGGGAGGACGTGTGTCCTCTGCTGAGTGAGAGCTGCCAGCTTTCCCACCTGGTTCTGAGCGGTCTGCACCCTGAGGCTGGCGCAGGAGCCCCCGTGACCAACACGGAGCAGCGGAAAGCAGCAGCCGCGGAGTGATGAGGGCCAGGGCCCCGGCTCCGTGCACGGTCACATGCGTGGCGTGGGGCTCGCTGTTCCAGTTGCTGTGTGCCCCTTTCCTCACCTGGGGAATGCCAGGCTGTGGAACTGCACGTGTGCCCAGCAAGCACGGGCCTCCGGGACACTCAGGGGGCCGCGCGATACACACAGACAAGAGGAGGGAGTCAGGGACCCCGCTGGGCTGCAGAGGACTCGGGAATCATTCACTGAAATCTCTATCTCGGGCATAGTTTGAAATTTTCATGACAAATGAGGAGGAGGCAGGTAAAGAAATTCTTAAGCTGTTTAGCGTTCTTGACATCCTGCATTTTGCTTCAGCCTTATTAAATGGAATTTGTTTCACTTCAAATGAGTGAATTACGGAGACATAATGAGAGCTATTTTAATTATTGTAAATACTGTCCACAGGCGTTTCCATGACTGTGGGTTTTTAGTTCCCTAAATAAAGTGAAATGGAGCTTTCTCTTGCTCCAGAAACCATCCTGCTGCCTTGCCTGTGGCCGCCAAGGGTTGCCCTTTAGATCTCTGGTGAGCCAGCCCCACACCTGCAGAGCCTTCTGCCTCCCAGTCTGGGTCCGAATCTTCCTGTGGGCTGCTGTGCCTTGCAGAGGCAGGCTTCTCCTCTGGGTCTTCAGCAGCCCCCACTTTGATCCACAAAGCAGGGAAGTACACAGAGGCATGGGGCTGAAGCAGTGCGTGGTCGAGTGGCTGGCTGATCACCGTGAAAGCAGACGCGTAGGAAAACCTTTATTGCAATTGTGAATAAAAGCACATCTTTCCTACCGGAGCTTGTCAGAAAGAGGTAGACCCCTTAAATGGAGTGGGGTAGAGGCAGGGAGCTTCTATGTTTTGGCAAACCCCTGGTGATGTTTACAGCTACTCGGGGCAAAGAACATTAATCCAGAAGAGAAGTGTGCACGTTAGGGCCCTAGGGACAGCAGACTTTCATTTCTGCCGTCTCAGCAGGATTGCAGAGGAGGAGGAGGGTGGGCAGCTGCACCGTGAACCCCCACCGGTAGCAGAGGCCTGTAGGTCCCTCCTCACACAGAAATGCTTCCCCTTTAAGAGAACACACCAGTCCTTGCACCAGGCCGCAGGTGCTGACTCTGAGTGCCCCCTGATTTGTGGCTCCACGACTGTGCACGTGTCCGATCAAACTGAGGTCCGAAAGTAGGAGGGAAAGCTGTGCCGTGTCCTCTTGTGATCGTATTTTTGGGTGCAAGGCCAAGAGGTTGTCACGATGCTTTCTGAGGAATTCCGGACGGCCCCTGCCCAGCACCCAGGCGAAGGCCCTCGCCAGGCAGCCTGCTGAGAAGCCTTCCGTCCCCACCCCTGCCACTGACATGCCTGTCTCAGATCAGCGGGCACAAATGAAACAAAGCAAGCAGGCAAACATGCCTTTCAGTTCTCTTCCATTATTCAGTCCGCTTTGGAAATGGATCCCCTCAGCAGAATTCCGTGTAGTGCACACTTCACAGTGTTTTAGACGAGCTCAGCCTCTGTCCGAAGAATTCACGAGTCTGCTGGCAGCCGCAGGAGAGAGAAGAATGACTCCTCTCGTTGAGGAGTGAATAGCACGTTGTTCTTTCCCCTTTATCTGCTCCACTCGGACTTCCCCATGTCAAGAAGAGGGCCGGGAGGTAGAAGAGAATGCACTGCAGGTGTGCACATTTTTGGTTCTGCCTCTTGAGAGGGTGAGCAGTGTCCAGCCACCTCACACTGGGAAAGCCCCCTTTCACCAGAACCACATGGGACATGAGGGTCCTCTCATCACTCCTGCACGTCAGACCTTTCACTACTCCTAATTAGAAAAAACAGAACACATTTATCTGTCCACAGTTCAATATGCACACTGTTTCACATTGAAGAGATAAATACGTAGCATGTTCCTACTTACTCCAAATCCACAGAAAAGTAGACAGAATAGGGACTTCAAATGACTCATGCACATTCCAAAGGATGCTTAAACTTCTTCACTCACAATCTGCAAAATACAGGAGTTGAAAATGCAATGCAATTTTCCTTGCATTCGAATTGCAAGGAGAGAAAAGGCTGGGGTCTCCTCTCTCAGCTTTGGAACCCCCCTCCTCGGCCTCCGTACAGGGAAGCTGCTTTTTCCTTCTTTCTTCTACCTTCCTTCTTGCCTGTTAAACTCTCTGCTTCTTAAAACCAAAAAAAAAAGCGCAAGTCTCTCCAGCACGGGAAGTGTGGGGGATGGGCATGTCCGCTCGCCCTGTTTATCTAGGAGACAGATGTAATATGAACCTATTGCTTTGTAGATGTCAGGGGTTTTTTATTGCATTTTGCAATAATTGTTGTGTCATTTTTGTTGCCTGCAGAACTATTCCCTCCTGGACATGAGGCCGCCACCACCTGCGATGATCACTTTAAACAATTCCGTCTACTGGCAGGAATTTGAAGATACCTGTGTCTATGAGTGTCTGGATGGCAAAGACTGTCAGAGCTTCTTCTGCTGCTATGAAGAATGTAAATCAGGATCCTGGAGAAAAGGTCGTATTCACATAGACATCTTGGAGCTGGACTCGTACTCCCGGGTGTTCTTCCCCACCTCCTTCCTGCTCTTTAACCTGGTCTACTGGGTGGGGTACCTATATCTCTAAGGGTTGCTCACAGGAGAATGAAGAGCGTCCGGTTCACACCTGACCTTCCGTTGCTTCTCCGTTGGGAGTGGCAAGGAAGGACACTGGTCAGTGTATCTTGCTATAAATGACCTTTCAGCAACACAGGAAGTACTCAGCAAAGGTTTCTACTGTGTAGCTCACACACACACATACACACGCACTCGTGCTAATTGAGTTTTAAAGTAATATTCTTGCTAGTCCCTACTGAATTGTAGCTTGCTGTGTTTCTGGTGGTTTTTTTGGCTATTGGAAGCAGCTGATGATTACTCTTGCAAAGAAATCTGTAAAACATGCAAGCGAATGCTGAGACGCTCTCTCAGGCCCCGGGTCCTTCTGCTAACTTCCTTCACAGCCCTGGGTGCCATGCCCACGCGTACTGAACCACCCCTGGCCGAGACCCACTCCTGCTGGCTCCGCCGGGGTTCTCCGAGCTCCAGTGTGAGCAGCGGTGGGTTTCAGCCCCAGTCTCCTCCCTCTGTGCCCTCTCTGGCTCCGGCGGCATCGTCGTTAGCTGGCACCGGCTACCCAGTAACGTCGCTCTAGGCCTGGGAAGAGTGCTCTGGCATTGTCCACGGTTTCCATCGGAGGAGAAAATAAGATTTTCAAAGTGCTCGTGTTGTTGGGTCAAAGATGATTATTTCTGAACATCAGAAGGTTATTTCTTTATTTTAACTTGGGAGGGGCAACAATATTTGAACTTCGGGTTCTCGGACTAGTTTAACAACATTTCACGTTAAGAGCTGTGTTTACTAGAATAAGGCTCAGCCCCAGAGTATGTGTCTAGCTTCCGTCATATTGTTATGAGTTCAGTAATTGTCTTTATTTTGCAAGGAAAGGTATACCGTGCTCATGGCCTGTTATCTTGAAACAAACACCAGAGTGTGAAGGACATGGAGATACATTTTTAATTTTATTTATTTATTTATTTTGAGATGGAGTCTCGCTCTATTGCCTAGCCAGGCTGGAGGACAGTGGTACCTCTTTGACTCACTGCAGCCTCCACCTCCCAGGTCCAAGCAGTTCTCCTGCCTCAGCCTCCCGAGTACAGGTACGCACTACCACACCTGGCTAATTTTTGTATTTTTTTTTTAGGAGAAGTGGGGTTTTGCCATGTTGGCCTGGCTGGTCTCGAACCCCTGACCTTAGGTGATCTGCCCACCTTGGCCTTTCAAAGTGCTAGGATTACAGGCCTGAGCCACCACACCTGACCGAAATTTTAAGAATTTCATAGTGAATATTAATTTTCAACTCAAACCAACTTTAGACGCAAAAAAAAAATGGGCAGTGGTGATCATCAAATATGTATTTTGATGAACAAGATTATTTTGTACTTTGAAATATGGATACATAGTAAAATCCCAAAGAAAAAAAATCCTCCCGAATCAATACTCTTTTGATATTTTTATAACACAAAACCAACTTGCTTCTCGCTGTTAGTTCTTTGTTACAACTGGATGGCAGCGTGAACTGCAGTACACTTTTTGAAACCTCTTTTCATCAGTAGGCAAAACGGAAGTCCTACCAGTTAGTCAATAATGCTTTGGCATTATTAAAATTTGGAACCAGAATCTCTGTGCTTCTCTCATCTTTCTCACACAGAAAACTGAATTCATTTCACCTAGAAAACATGATTTTAAACAGTCTATTGAGCATGCCATAATTACTCAGAAAAGTAAAATATTTTGCAGAGAACGTATAGAAAAGTGTCCATTTCACACAATTTCCTACATGTATACCAGACACAGAAGAGGATGGGAGTGGCATAGGCCAGAAAAATTGATATTAGATCTTATTGATTTTTTTTTTTTTTTTTTGAGAAGGAGTCTTGCTCTGTCACCAGGCTGGAGTGCAGTGGCACAATCTCAGCTCACTGCAACCTCCGCCTCCTGGGTTCAAGCGATTCTTCCACCTCAGCCTCCCGAGTAGCTGTGAGCACAGGCGCGTGCAACCATGCCCAGCTAATTTTTTTGTATTTTTAGTAGAGACGGGGTTTCATCGTGTTGGCCAGGATGGTTTCGATCTCTTGACCTTGTGATCTGCCCACCTCGGCCTCCCAAAGTGCTGGGATTACAGGTGTGAGCCACCGCACCTGGTCTGCCTGCTTATTTTTATTAAGATTGTTGCATATTAAATGAATGCAAAGATACAGATATATCAGGCCCCCGTTCTCAAGGATGGAGTCTGTACAGCGTGAGACATTCAAACTCATTGTTTTTCTCCCTGTCAACTCTCTGCCTTCGGGTTTGGTAGTTGCTACAAAAGCCACAAACCCATTGGCTTCAATTTAACAAATTTAGTTTTGAAAATAGTGTTTGTGAAGAAACAGGTTGAAAATACTGTCTTAAGTGAAGCGTCTCCTCTATTGGAGAGGTTCACACTCTGGTATTCTAGTTCTGTCTCTCGTACATAAGCAGCCCTAGCCTTAGCAGAGATATTCTGCAGGGACCCTGACCAGAGGAATCCAGGTCCCACCACAGCACTGAGCACCAAGGGAAGAGGGTCCAAGGACAGTTTTCTGACACAGTGTCCAACCTTTTGCTGGGTAAGTTCTAACAAGCTGAAGAATTGCAATCTGCTACATTTTAAAAGAAGTTCTGCAGAGAACTGAATTTTCTAGCAAAATTCTAATTGGGAGGAAAATAACCTAAAACAACTTTTTGATCACATGGATTTGTTCAGTTTTTACCTTCAAAGAGTTTTCCTGATGCCTCATGTTTGTTTCAAAACCACTCAATATTTGGATGTTTGTAGAAACCCTCTTGAAATTTTACATGTAGGATAAATACACCGATCACCTCAGTGTTCTGAATCCAGCCATTCTCTTCTTCCCCACCTCAGCACAGACGAGTTCAATGCCCCTTTTCCAGGAAGGAGAACCTTCATGTAAAGAAAGGCCAATGGATTTCACTAACTGAGCATCGTAGTGTAGATTCCTGCTACCCAGTAGGGGTCTGAATAAAAAGAGCTAAAGCACCCCTAAGACCAGGTCCATGCCGGCTTCTCTGCAGGTTTGCACAGTTCACGTTCTCCCTATCCGTCTCAGCTCCTGAGATGAGCCTTTTCAGTCCACAATACAGGAGAGGTGAGTGTGCCTTGCTGAGCTGCAGAGCTCAGGGGCTTCTTCAGATGTGCATGTTTACCGTCCAGAGGAAGCAGAGGGGCAGTGTGCGGAGAGTGGGAGGGAAGTTCACTTTCTTTCACTAATGACTCTCCTTGGCCGGATGCCTGATCAGGAGGGACACGTGTGGGCATGGGGCACAGGGCTGCTCCACACAGCTAAGCCCCAGCGTGCTTCGCATGTGGAATTGGGAACTATTTGGGGTGGAAGTTGTCTGAGTGATCTGCATTCCAAGGTGCTACTGTGTTCCTCACTTTCAGAAATACTTTAAGTGGAGGAGATGACAGTTTTGTATTTTGACTTGGAATCCAAATTTCTGACCACTGTGGATCACACTTTAAACTGTGACTGTGTCTCTTTTAAGCTTCATACTGGGTGCGGGGGAAAGAGAAGAAAAAGCATTTCACATTAATGGAATTGGAGAAAAATGTCACTTCAGAGCCTAGAAAGTTTCAGCTTCTGCAAAGTCCCAGTGCCACCTACCAGAACAGAGACTCCCTACGTACCAGACAGAGAAGAACAATGTTAGTATAATTTACTCTGGACCCAGCCAATACTTCCCCCAGTTTACCCAAAATATGCCTTAAAATGAAACAAAGCTCGAATAATACACAACTTGTAAGATTTTCCATCTCCAGCAGTCAGTCTATTTCATGCCAAGCTTTATTTATCTTTAATGAATGGAAACAGGATTTCATTTCTTTATATGCCAAACAGTCTCACCCTTAATTTTACATCAAATCAATTAAGTACAAAGATTTTGCAGGCTCTTCAGCTGAGAAGACGTTTGTCCTCAATAGCAAAGCATTTCACTCTATATAGGGGAAGTTGGGGTCAATCTAATCATCCACACAGTCCTTCTGATGGGGATGTGTGTCTCTGTAGAACCTTCACAGCAAATCATTTTAGCTGCTGAGTGCTTGCTGCAGTCAAAGTGAGTTTGCAGGCATGTTACTTCACTGCTGTGCAAACCAACCACACTCTGCAAGCCCCAGGAGAGGGGCCGGTTAGGCATTCTGCATTGACGGCAGTCCCCACAGCTAGGAAGCAGCAGGCCACTCTATCTAAAGGGCTAGAAGACAAAACCTCTTCTTCCTTAATCATTTTTATCTCAGCTGCCGAAATGGAAATTTTCTGTGATTTCCTTAGAGACTCCAAGAATTATACCTAGTCTCCAACCATTCTTCTCATCCCTGTATCAGTTCAGTGCTCTCAAGGCATAAAGCGCTTTGAATTCACTCCATGATCTTGTGACTTTTTGAGTGCTTTTTCTGAGGATCTTTAAACTGTTGTGTAAGAAACTTCATCTGCAATTTCTGTAAAAAAAACAAAAACAAAAACAAAAAAACAAAAAACAGTGAATGACGAGATACACATAATATGATGTAAATATACATTGAAGTATTAAGTTCTAATTGCACTGTTCACCTTAGACTTTAGGACACTATCATTTCCCAAATATTCAGAAAGGTTCTGGAAATAAGGGAGAAAAAAATCAGATGATGACTACATTGGAAATGTTAAATTTACAGTATTCTGCTGAGCCCCCTTCAAATCTCCCAAAATCGAGGGAGTATGTAATCTGTACATATTTTTTTCTCAAATTTGCCTGGAGGAAACATTCAGATTCAGAGACTTTGGCAGTGCCTCTGTGTTTGTGTTCTCTGTATAATCACGTCAAAGAACCAAAAAATAACACTTCAGGATAAATGACAGCCCCATCGCTGATCTCTCGTTGGCTTATGTTTATTATAAAAATTGATCTCTATCGTTCTAGAGAGAAAATGTGTATGTATTGAGATGATCGGATAAGAACTCAGCCATTCAGCATTTCTGGAAGAATAAAAACTTGGCTTTCTTTTCCTTAATGTCTAATAGTCTTGAAGACTAGCGATTAGGGCATTTCCATTCCTCCTTTTGGAATTTTACTGAAGCTAGCAACTTCGGGATGTCAGCTTGATCTAGTTGTAATAAGGCTTGTAATAAGTTGTAAGAAACATATGTCTATTGGTTTATTTTATTTTTTATTTTTTTGAGGCAAAGTTTTATTCTTGTTGTCCAGGCTGGAGTGCAGTCAGTGGCACCTCCACCTCCTGGGTTCAAGCGATTCTACTGCCTCAGCCTCCAAGGTAGCTGGGACTACAGGCGTGCATCACCACCCCTGGCTAATTTTTTTGGTTACTATTATTGTACTTTCGGTTCTGGGGTACGTGTGCAGATCATGCAGAATTGTCGCTTGGGTACACACATGGCAATGTGGTTTGTCCATCCCCCCCGTCACCTACATCTGGCACTTCTCCCTTTGTTATCCCTCCCCGACCTCCCCAACTGTCCCTCCCTTGGACCCCCCAACACACCCCAGTGTGTGATGCTGCCCTCCCTGTGTCCATGTGTTCTCATTGTTCAACACGCATCTATGAGAACATGTGGTGTTTGATTTTCTGTTCTTGTGTCACTTTGCTGAGAATGATGGTTTCCAGATTCATCCATGTCCCTACAAAGGACATGAACTCATCATTTTTCATGGCTACATAGTATTCCATGGTGTATATGTGCCACATTTTTTTGTCCAGTGTATCGTCAATAGGCATTTGGGTTGGTTCCAGGGCTTTGCTACTGTAAACAGTGCCACAAGGAACATATGTGTGCATATGTCTTTATGATAGAATGATTTATAATCCCTTGGACATATACCCAGTAATGGGATTTCTATTTCTGGGTCAAATGGAATTTCTATTTCTAGGTCAAATGGATTTCTATTTAACCTAGA